GGCTTCTTGCCTCAGAGCGGGGGGGTACGGGGGGTTGGCTCCTGATCCTTCCGGTCTCTCTCCGGAATTGCTAGGGGGGTTCTGTGGAGGTTGGGGGGGTACTACGTCTCCGCCTCCTGAGCCTTCGGGGGCTGCTGCCGTTCTATTGACTGCCACCCGCATTTGCTCGATGATCTCCTCCAGGTTTTTCTTCGTACCTGCGAACTGGTCTTCCATCGCAGCTTGTCTGTCCCGTTCCATCCTCTCGAGGGCAGCCATAACCTTCGCGGGTAGCTGTACATGGCCAGCTTTGGGGAGTTGCTGAACGAAGTCGGTCAGCGCGTTTATGTGCTGATCCTGTCACTCCTGCCTCTCCTGATGCGCCATAGTTGCTTCGACGATTTGCCCAAGGACTTGCCCGAGGTTGCTGGTAGCGGCGGTGGATTCCGCTCGTAGTTGAGCCATGACCTGGTTGAGCTGATTGTCTCGCTCGGCTCTGTCCCCAGCGAACTTGGCGTGGAGGTCCTCGACGATTTTGTGGGTGTATTCCTGCTGCTGGCGGGTAAGTTCCCTGAGTATGGGGATATCCCGCACGTGCATGCTGAGTTCCTCGATCCCGCGGCTGAGCTGCTGTACCACTGGAGCTCCTTGTCGCTAGACCTCTCGCCCAATGATATCGCCGAAAGGGTTCTCCACCTACCGCTCCTCTACGTACATGTTGGTGTCCTCGTCTTCGTCCATTACCCGAGGTACCGAGGGCCTCTGAGTAGAGGATCTCTCTCTGATGGGGGTGACGTATGGGGAGTACTCCCTGTGGTCTACCTGTCGCCTCCTCGCCTGCCCATATGATTCTTCCTGCCTCGTCGATGCGAAGAGGGAGCCTATCGGCACATCTCTCTCTTTCCTGTGGCGCCTCTTCGCCTGAGTCTCTAATATACCTCGATCTCTCAAGGCGATTGAGCTCTCCATGTTGTAGTCTTCCTCCGACCATTGCTGATGAGCCCTTGACATTGCTGAGTTGCTCGAGTTTAAGCTGTGGTTGTTTTTTGCACCAAGGTTGAGCGATGAACCACGGGGCTGGGTGAGCCAGTCTGAAAGACCATTGGGAGAGAGTGATCTTGATTGGAAAATGTTCTGGGTAGTTGAGGATTTCGGGGTCGTGTTCCTCGAAGGTAGCGGTGGTTCCTGCTTCTGCGAAGAAACCTGTGTAGTGGAGGTATCCGCAGTATAGATGTTCGGCGCTTCCTCTTTGTACGGTGAAGGATGTAGCGCAAAGGTAGTTGTTGATGGCTGCTGTTGCCACTCGGGGGTGCATATAGTACCTTGGTCTTTCTAATAGACTAAGCGCGTATCCTTCTACTGAGAGCACGGTGACTATCCGCCACTAAGCAAAATACTCAGAGTATTGGTTTAAGCGAGTAGTTGTCTTATCGAGACTTCTGGTAGTGTATGCGATAGGTAAAGAGTAAAGTTAGGGATAAGGTACAATATAGTGTTTGGGGAAATGGCCAGTGCTAAGCGATAATACTGTAGCGTTTAAACTTGATGATATTGTAAACCGGATTCCCTTGACTTGGTGGTTGATGATGCCCTCAAGTCTTCGCAGAATCAAGCCCTATTTATACATGTTGGAATCTATGCCAAGGCCCGCTTTCTAATACTAACTGATACAACGGTAATAGAATAAGATAATGCTCCCGAAGATAACCCAGATAGAGAAGCGCCTCCGCATAGTTCCGTCCTCCATTCTAATTCCGACACGTAACCATGAACCTTGCAATTGCCAGTCATCGGGCTGTACCATACTATTATCCTAGACCTACTTCCCTAAGTAGAACAGCCTACAGCCGTAAGCCCCGCTTACTATTCTATTCCGGGTGAGACACCCAATAGTGAGTGTGCCGTCATAATAGTATAGGACTAGTGTGGTAACACCGCGTACCCCCACACTACCCGATACCTTTCTATGCTTGTCCTTTCGTTACCCGACCGTCCTCGCATCACAACCCGTCACTCCTATTCCTCACTGTCCTAAGCCTCTAGAACAGTGTTCCGTAATTCCTGTAACACACCCAATAGTAAGCGTGCCGCCATAATAGTATGGGACTAGCGTGGTAACACCGCGTGCCCCCACACTACCCGATACCTTTCTATGCTTGTCCTTCCGTTACCCGACCGTCCTCGTATCACAACCCGTCACTCGCATTCCTCACTGTTCTAAGCCTTTAGAACAGTGTTCCGTGGTTCCTGTAACAGCCACCTAGATAAATTGTCTTTACGCTTAACTTCGCCCCCTCCAACTTTGATTACCCTATAGCTAACCTGTACGATTTGCACCCTCAAACTGGGGTTTTTCTGTATCATCTAACATGCATCAACCACAGTATTGGCTTTATCAATTGAAAGAACTCTTAATTAGAGGATAGCATGGTGGCCTGCCTAACCGAACTGATGATCTGTGGGGGAAAATCTAGACTGTATATATCAAGCTGCTAAATACATATATTTGCGGCCTAACTCATTCTTGGGCATCAAGAGGGAATATATATTTCAAGGATATTGCAGGACTAGAGAGTTCATGTAGATCTAGTATCAACTATGTGATAATTCAGAGATACTATTGAATTAATCCTGGTAATCGAGAACAGACATGTATGTGTAGTTCTAGGACATAAATACCATTGAGAGTGCGCGCGCGTGCTAATACTGTTACCGAGTAAATCCAGCAGTCAGGGGCGCAAAAACCACTACGGTATGTAGAAAGAGGGCGAATTATGTATATCCCTCAGCAATTGAAGAGCTCTATACTTGCACACCACACACCACTAGACGGTGCTAGTGATCTAAGCGTGTGCTATCCTCAATCTGTATTATTTGCGCATCTCAGTAAGTTCTGATTGGTCGAGAGAGCAGATACCAGCATAGCAACCATGCAGCCCACCTGACCAGAGAAAGGCACCCGTAAAGAAACTAAGACGAAAGGGGAGCTATTGAAGATTAAATTTCCTAACCGCGCACATGCTCGATGTTTGCATTCACCTGTATTCAGGACTTGTGGCTCACCATATAAAATTTAGGAGCTAATTAATACTTGAAGCGCCGATCGGCAGTGCAGAATCGGGGTGGCCCATACTTAATATCGATCCCCACATACGGGTATCGACGTTGAAAATAGAGCATTAACAAATGCAGCCTTTATAGTACTGGAGAGAAACGGAGTGGAAAAAGCATAATAGGCCTCATGTCTATTCGCAGCTGGAATGTCACTTACGTTTAAAGAAATATGTAGTTCCGAAGCCTCTAGTGCAGACGACCATCTGTGCACGGATGGTGGGTATGTGCCGGGGAGCCTCCAGCCCATATTATATATATACACCTCAATAAGATCCTGAAAGAAAGGTTGTCACTCAGATTGCAATTTTCATATGTATTTGAAGTCATTCTGACCAGTCTAGATACCCTCAGAATGACTACGGGGAGTACCTCATTCAATATTTGTCTTACCGTTTTGAATAACTCCAGCCACGACGTACCCGTCCCCACCATGATCAGCAATAATTATATATATTAACCTACCTTAATTTTATCCTTCATCCATCTTCTAGCTCCCCTGGCCCTTGATGCGATATCAGGCGCCGGAATCACCGGTTCCCGTCTCCAAGGTTGCCAAAGGGTGAAAAGCTTAAGGCTCTTCTCGAAATATTCCTCCTCTGACATTTACTGATAGACTTTTGGCCATCAGTTTTACGTTACCGTAACGTTAAAACACAGGCGCCTTTCTAAGCCAAAGAAAGCAATTTTGCGCTCTCCTTTGCCATTTGATGCTTATAAGTATGTATTCACCACAAGCCGTTCTGTAAGGAGATATTTTCGTTGGCATGTAGGTTACGCTACGTGTCACGTATACTATTGTATATTAGATCGGAAGAGGGCCCTCACTCCTCTTCCGACCATCATCCTTGGTAATAAAACTCTTCGTTACTAAAACTCACAAGCCTTTTGCGCCAAGAAGCGCAGCGGGCTATTACACCTTCTATATAGTACTTATCTGATCCTACTCCCGAATACTTGGTCCATGATAATGAATAAATCTGTCAGGGATCTCGAAGGTCTGTTGGTACTATATCTCTATCGAGCTCTCGAGTCCTCACGATCACCGCTATTGTATATTCCATTCAACGTTCTCTCCGCCTCCACAACCTTCCCGGAATCATGGTCGTACGCCACTACAACATGCTAACCGGTTATACATAAGACTACGCACCACCCCCAACACCACTCTTCCTCTTGATTTTACCTAAAAATTCAGAACCATCTCTGTTTTTTTCTACTATGCATGTACCAAGGTTGCTGGAGGTTTTGGGGATTGTTGGATGCTCCAAAACCAAGCGTTCGACAGGGTTTTTTTTTTTTTTTTTTGTTTAAAGCGTTCGACAGGTCTCCAATTGCAATGATTGCTGATATTCCGCTTGGTCGTATCCAGATAGCGCTGTACCCAGGGTGTACGTCCCGATAAGTGATGCAACGATCATATAATTCCTATTTTTCAAAACGAAACTAGCCAACAAATACGAAGTGAATTCATGATGATGAGGATCGTAGTTTTGGTGAGACTTATGATGAATAGCTGTTGCTTGTTTTTTATCCCTGTTGTTTGTCAGAAGTTGCCCTTTTGTAGGCTAAAAAAACCCAAATTTGAAAAAAAACGCGGATTCTATCCTCAAGGCTCATTTATCACGCGCATTATCAAAGTATCTATCATAATCAGAGGTTGTTTTTGTATGTATTAAAACATTGAAATCTTGGTGCATTTCGGTGTTGCTAAGTCAAACGTTGCATCACTTACCGGACCCCTGGGTACATGATTGGCTACCGCAAAGCCCCGATAAATCCACAACCCCGCATTTCAGCCTCAGAGGGATTGAAGTAGTTATATACCATTAGCAAGACAGTGAATCGATACACATTTTAGAAAACGAATACGTTTTTGTTCCTGAGAGTTATTTGGATCTCCAATAACTATGCCAGATCAACCCATCGCCGACCAGACAATCACCGGGCCAGTGTGCACGGCAGGTATGTGCCTGGATATCCTACGCGAATACATCGACAATGAAAGGCCTTCTCTCAGGTCGTTCTACGATGAAGACTTGTTGATGCAGCGCGCATTACAAGCAGAAAAGATGGTTAAAACACTGACTAGGAGAGGCTGCGATCATCAGACTGCAGAACAACTGTCATTACTTGTGCTATTTGACTTAGTGATACTAGTTGGTGGGCAACCTTTGCTAACCTGACAATTCCAACCCCAGTTACCTCTACAAGCCATGATTACTGCCCTAATACGCTTGATCTAGTAGGACGAATATGTAGAGATAGAACATTTACGCTACATAATTTATGCTAACAGACAAAGTATAGATGACAGCCTCTCTATGGGAAACGCTGAAGGTGGTACTGCGGTCACTGCCCTTAAGGCGATATTGAAACAAATAGCGAAGCTTTACGATCTTGCCAACCCGGGGGGTATCTCATCTATCAGATTTTTGAACCAAGAACTTGGGAAAAGGGACATTAATAGCAGGAATGTGGATAATGTACTAAGAAACCACAACTTCAGCGGTATCGCGAACATCGGAACAATGCTGGATATGCGCATTCTTAAACACTTTATCTACAATCGTCCCTATCGGTTGTGGAAGCCGCTCATAGTTATGATGATAATATACAGTGCATGTGAGGTAGGCAACTCGACATCTAGGCCCAAATTAATCCTCCATTATCAGGTCAAACCTGTTTGGGGTTGGTAGGGGCATATCGCGGGCTCAATGATTCGAGACCTAAAGTTGGTTAATCTCATAGTTTTGTACATATTCTAACTGACACTGGACGTATCGCAGGTTGAAGGCGAGAGCGAAGAAACATTAGAGAGCGTCATTAGCGAATGTGTTTCGAATTGTAAAGCCTCAAGCACACTGGGAGAGAGTGGTTAGTAGTTATATACACCTTGTCAAGTGAAATGTTCAAGCCTGATAATATACCTGGAGCATAATAGCTGTTACGTTTATTATTTTACGCGTCGGTGATAATAAGGATACAGAGCGTTTCCTCACGCGTCTTACATCGAGAGGCGTCCAGAATCTCTACTGCTTTCCACGTACGTAGATCAATTATACACCTTTATATATAATTGGTATCTATTTCATTCATACATTTATACTGGTCTAACTTACATATCTTCCACATATGTAGCCCGCGTACCACTGGAAGGTTTAGATGACACATTTAAAATATGGAAAACAGTTTGTGCTACTAATACTCTTTATCATGGAGGCTGCTAACATATCATTCCACGACCGATCAGCTGAAGAGATTGTTTGCAGATGCGTTATGCAATACGGTATAATGACGTCTTTCTAACACCCCCGCTTGATCTACCTAAATGACGAATGGGGTTACCAGGGCACGAAAATCCTCATAGAAAACAATGCAGATATAGCAAAGAAAGAAGGCCATGATCAGCCCCAGGATATACTAGGGCAGCAAGTGATACCGTCTGGCTTCTCGATCCCGAATCCTTATACGACGTATCTTAACATGAGCGATATTGTCATTGGCATGGGAATGGAACCGCTACCGATGGGTGGTACCATGGGTTGTAATATGGATATGGACCTGAGCATCCTCTCGGCGGAGGAGCACGAGGATCTAAAGATTTTAGAAAACCGGGAGAGAATACAACGGATGCAGGCCCCCCAACACAAGTACCAGATGGGTGGACGCAGAGGGGACGATCTAAAGGGACGAAGCGCCGGCGTAGGACGAGGGCGGAAGAGGGCTGGCAGTGATGATAGCGGTCATGATCCTACCCCGGTTGCCAGAGGTGGTCCTAGCCACCATTCCTCGGAACTCCTCCAGAGTCAATGGTGGCTAGAATACAAATCCCTGCGGCCGGACAAACTAAAACGAAGTGCAGACCGACTTCAAGATATATCAGAACCAGATAAGCAAAATTCGTTCCAGGCTTCGGTAAAAGCTACTAAAGACCTATCCAAACGCTTTGGCCGGAAATCAATCAAAAAAGAAGAAAAACGCTTCGGCCGGAAATTAAACAAAAAAGAAGAAGAAAAACGCTTCGACCGGAAACCAAACAAGAGAGAAGAAAAAAAAAGCTCCGGCCGGTGCATTTCCGATTTTGATTCATGGGGGACTATGACACCACTGATGCCCGATAATGATTTGTGGGTGGAACCCCTAGGAGGCCCTAGGAGGAGTAACTCTTGCTCCGACCTCTCTGAATGGGTGAGAGTACCCTCTATGACCTCCGGCCTGATCGTCCTACTAATAGTTCTAAGGCCAGCGCGGATGAAGACGTTGAAGAACGATCACCGTCACCGCCAGCGCCCACAACTAGTGAGCAACGAGGCAGTAAGAAAAATCAAAATAGCGAATTTAATTTCAACCTGACAATTCCAAAAAAATATGAAGAGTCCGAAATTGAGGGTGGGTACAAATTTGAGGCAATTAAAATTTGGAAGCCGCTGTTTCACAGCTCGGCATTCCCTATAAACCTGGTGAGATACCTTCCTGGGCGTCCTAGTTGCCTTACTCATGACAGTTAAATTGTGAGACCACGCGGGACGAAGTACGGTTACAAGCCAGCAAGATCGTTTTCCGTGTTAGGGGGATACCATATGGAACAAGCTTAAAATCTCTATCATTGAAGATTCTCCGCTCAACTCAGCAGCCACAGGGGTTTGAATTTGGCGAACCTATAACGGTGGATTTTAACGAGTCTACCCTAGTGCCAGACTGTTATAACACGTGCACCCAGATGCAAATGGCTTTGATACAATTTATTCCACGGCCGCCAGATCGGCTACAAAGACTTCGAACCAACGAAACTTACTCCTTGCGGTTGGATAGGTCAGAGGGGGAAATTACTATAGACAAGGATTTCTTTGGGCATACACAGCTCTATCCTACCACCGGGCAGATAGTGGCAGAGCGCGTGACTCTTTTCCCCCCATATATACGGCACAATGTCAGCTAATATGATAATTTTATAGTATTGTCGCAGTATGTGGATTAAATGGTCATCCTTATGGCTCGTGGGCAGCCAAAGCAAATCATGATGGGAACAAAAGAATGTGGCTTCGTCACTTTCTCCCGAACAGCCTTCCGCAGTGTAGAACTATGGTCTATGGTTACAATTCCAATCTTCAGCACCAATCGAGGCACAGTATCCAAGACTATGTTGATACGTTTCTGGAGGAGCTGGAAAAGACAAGAAATACCAAAGAGGTACCTCCCCATCCATATATATCACGCATCAAACTAATTCCTCAGGAGAGGGAGAGACCAATTATATTGATCGGTCATAGTTTTGGTGGCATCGTCATTGCTCATGTAAGTTGGCACTAATCCCGTCATCCACCCCTAGCACTAAATACTTTAATCAGTCAATCGCCAACGCTACAAAGGGACAGTTGGGGGGTTGTTCTCTTATCAGTAATATCAAAGGGATTGTATTTTTCGGTACTCCTCACCGCGGCCTTGTTGTTGACGACTTACTTGCAATGATTGGCGACCAGTCCTCCAGAGTCAAAATGGTTCAGGACCTGAGCCCAGACTCCCCAGTCCTCTATGCTACGCTGGAAAAATTTATCAAAATCTGCAAGCAGAAGCGGTGGGGGATCGTGAGCTTTCGGGAAAGAGAACAAACTAGGAAGCTCGTTCAGGTTTTCTCCCAGCACAGCTTAATATCCAGTGGTTCCCAGCCTCGGCAAATCTAGTTGAAGGAACAACCATATATATATATATATCAGAGGCTAATTCATATCCAGGATAAACATGGTGTGTGGGCCCGCACAGGGGATTATTACACTGCGGTCGAAAGCGAGTCCTTGATACTAAATTTACCGAGTTCAATCGAAGAGACGTTACCTGCAGAAGGTGATCATTCCACGATGGTCAAGTTTGAGCATGAACACCACGCCACTTTTACCTCCTTAATACGTAAACTGCGTGAGCTTATATTTAAAGAAGGTATGGAATATAGTTACCTCTCATGCTTCCCCATAGAGGATTAAGACCGCAACGATATCTAAGCATTTTTCAGCAGGTCATAGTCGCCGCCTACGATCTACACCGGTTTCAGGCTCTGATAGCGAAGTGAAACGTCGTATCGGGAAACGAACCAAAACCGATTCATGAGTGGTGTACTGATGCGTAATTTGCGGCGGACATGTTTATCTAATCGCGTATGACGTACAAAAATGGGAAAAGCGTGAGAACAACAAGGAAATAGCAATATTTGTACGTGAATCATTAGACTCTCTGGCTCGATACATTTTCATTAAACTTTCACACTCTCTGCGCGCACGTTGTTCCTTCTTAGCCTCAAGTACCCTCAACGCCAATTCTCAACGCCAATTGATACAGAGCATTTAATCAGAGGCGCCCGGATTTCGTTGAGTTCAGAAGGGATCAATTTCGGCTCTCGTACCAATGCAGACTCGATCCAATGACTTTTGCAGCTCAGGGAAGAAAGCTAGCTTGCCGGTGATTTAAAACGCATGTACACGTGTGTACACGTTGTCTATGATATATGTACATACCTTAGCATCGAGCCGCGGGTATGATGTAGGTTTATATATGCCGAACGTAGGCTCACAATAGCCTTATGAAACAAATGGAAAATCGTGACAATGAATACATGTAGTATAGTAATAAAAAATATTTCACCTATGGGATCCGGGAACGCATTGATTAGTGCATGTTCTACCGATCCAGACTACATGTTAGTTGCGGACGTTGCCAAAAGGGAGATAAACGTCAGGCCAGCTGTCAAAAAGATAGCTCCTCCTGGTCTAGAATTAACGTTAATTGATCAACGCTGTATGTAAGGTGTGCCTGCATGCATTGAATACCGAGAATCACTGCAGTGCCAAGATAACATCGCTGTAATGGGGCTCTCCGCCGATCTCTGCGTTCCAATTCCATTTAGTGAACGCCCTAAGAAAGATGGAACCAATGAGCAAAGGACACACTCTTGGCACCAACATTATCATCGCAATCCTTATTGACATTATAGGAGAATCAAAAGTCATCAGAGATTAATTATAAACTTGGTTGCTGGATACGCAAGTCTAAGGCCGAGAAGATCAGGAGTAGGAAAGTCAAGATAGAATGAAGAACCGGTAGGTATGGGGACTACTAGGTCGGGATTTAGCTAGTTGTCTGTACGTCTATAACTCTGACCGGGCGGAAGGCTCGCTAGACAAGAGCGAGACCGTTCTCCATTTCGAAGGTCAAATGGACAACTTGACTTCCGATTCTACAGGCCCGTACTGTCCGTCGTAGTAGCCGTCTTTCTCCTCTCTCTCCCTCGTACACGAATGAATTATCAATCAATCAACTAATCAATGGTTGTCTTTATGAGAATTAAACAAAAAAAGACGAGATCGAATGGTTGACTTCATAGGTTGTCACTCGTCACGATACCGAGTGATACGTTGTGATCCTCACGCCCATCACATTAATTAGTTTCAGCGGGCTAGCCAGTCGAAATAATAAATATTTCGCCCGAATAAGCCCCTGGCTATTCCTCGTGCTTTCTCGATCTCAAAAAGGCAATCTTGACGTCTTGCGCCAAGAAGAATTGATCTGGGCCGGAGATTGGATGTGTCGCTTTAGAAAAGAGACGCATGTAACGCGTCTAATTTACGGTTCGTCTAGTGTGTATTCTTAGCAAATCCTCTCGTTATTGGGGGTATCCGGCCGGCCAGATCGTGCATGATGAAGATGTCTATCTGCGATGCAAGGACCGGAACCGTGCATGCAACACGGAATACCACTAGCCGACATCGCTAACAGATTAAAGAAATGATAATTGCTCAAATCCAGCCAGCTGGTCCACAAACAGAAAAGCACCTTGTCTGATTTTTCATGACTACGATTCGGTGGTGGGTGCCATAGTTGGCAGTTTGCATGTAGATACTTACATTTGCATCGTAGGTGAATTAACCAGCTTGATCATGTATCTATATTACCGTGGACGAAGGAGCCAAAGTGTTCGTGAGAGCCTGGGTACGTGGTGCCAGCGGTATAAGCCACCGATACTGGGACTAACGGTTCACCCACAGGTGCTTAAATTCGATGTATCTCTCATTACAATTATGCGCACAATTGTACAAATTGATCCTTCATCAACTCTATCGACCTCCCTACTCCCTTCTGGATTGATTATATATTGAATTTGGTCCTCCTACATTATAGCCGCTACGTGCGCGGCTTTGAGTAAGTGCGTCAGCGGCAACAGCAGCGATGCATGAGGAGGATCGGAGGCATTATGTGATTTTGATACCACGTCGGCTCCACCTCGCCCTAGCTCGATCTTTGACCTCATGACAAAAGATATATACTGCTCTGAATCAATATAGTTCACCTTATTCCATGAGCCAATACCTTATACCGAGATAAGTGGTGGTCGTTAGATCACGGCCGGTTATGTAGGTATACGTACATGTAGCTACATTTACGTATACATATATATATGTTCCGTCATAGTCACAACTATATCACGTTGGTCAACAGACCGGCTCATTGACCAACTGGCTGTTCTGTTAACAAATATTACCTATTCACCAATGCTTCCTGGGGTTTGACAAACAGTCACTGGTCTTCTGTCAGGAAGTACCAAACTCGACTAATTAACTCCCAAATACCATCGCTTAACAGCCAAGAAATTCAAAGAACACATTCCACCTACATTTATATTCCCTTGCCCTTGATATACCACTGTCCTGGGGCTACATAACTAACGCAAATAAATGTTTCTTTAACAACCTGATAATTAACTAGGGCCAACTGCTTTCCGCTGGAAAGGCTGAGGGTTATATAGCAGAATGGACTGTAAGCGGAAAATAAGGGCTTGTTCACCAATGATGGTCCATTAGCCAATAATGAGCGTTTGCGAGTGGGGCGGAACATATATATATATTCATACCAGATGCCGTAAACTGCAAATTGAGGTACTGGATAGTATAGGGTCGATCTGTCGCGACCCAGTGTTCGTCTTGATTAAAGATGATCTCCAATTGAAATATATACATCCTCCGGATTTACGGGACATTTTAAAAACTGTCTCGTCGAGGCTTGGTGACGTGTGTATGTAGCCAATATAAGGCAGCTGCGTGCCAAGTTCATGGTACATACATACGTATCATACTCTATGTCGTAGTAGAGTACTACATGAGCCGTATGCCCCGCGGCCAGTCAGGCGCGAGTGCATGCAGGTGGCATTACTCGAATTAATTCCGCGTACCTGGCAGATGAAATATCCTGCACTTGCAACCTGCACTTGCAACCTGACCAAGGTCTACTATTGGGTTCTCTTATACTCCACGCCAAGCTCATCAGCAACGACATCTAACTTAATTAAGCCTAAGAGATCACCTCGTCATCTCCAGGAGGTCTGTAAGGTACTGGCCGATATATATGTGTGGTGAGCTGAACATCATGCCGCCCCCTCACATCCTTCTCCCCCCAATGTGAATGGGTCTAGCGGCTGATCCAGATCATTCGCCTATCGAAAAGCGCTTAGGATTTTAAGACAGCGCTGGCGCTGACCGTTGCCAGAACATCTGGGGCCGTCAAGTATTTAGAACTCGGAAATAAGGGTCTCTCTCCGATGGAGATGGCACCTCGTAGCCATAGGCCCTGGACTTAGTATATATATATGGTTAGTGGGGGTTCGTCTTGAGGCAGATTCATAGATATCCCGGGCTAACTGGCGGTTGATGAATGCAACTTTCTATTTTTCTTTTTTCCCCCTTGTTTGACCGGTCCTGTTTTTGAATGCACAAACCCCAATTAATATAATCCACCGATTTATAGCACTCTATAATTTCTCACATCGGCCGCGGTGTCCAAAGCTCTAAAGGCCTTCATTCCTTCCTGCAGAACCTGTTCCCCCGATAGAACCACCGTGCTCCGGACGTGAGCGTGAGTGATCGATTATCGACATCGCGCACTCTCAAACGCACGCTCTGATAGATTGCAGTAACCGTGTGGTTATGGTATATATCGTGCCAGTAGCGGTCGGGCACGACACACGAGGATAGTCGTTGTAAGATTGTGATGTGTCCTACCTCACTGCAGCGCAATCGTTAGTACACAAACTTACATTACAGGCAGCATCGCATGCGCGCAGCTTCAGTAGATACGGGCACGACAAAAAGAAAACGAAAAGTAAGGACAAGTACTGACGTACCAACAACATCTGTATACATGACAGGTTACCGATTCGTTAGTCCAAGACGTATCACCTCCCCCCCCCCCCCCCCCCCCCCCAGAATAGTCAAACGACCTTGTTGAGGCACGTCAAGTCTAAAGCCCCCCTATCCTCGATCGAACACAGATGGAAATAATTGATGGTGAGAACGAAAAACCTAGTTAAGCACATGAGGAAATCTTATCTCGAGTGACCTCGTGGTCCGCACTGCTATCGATCGTCTCACCCCCGGATCGAAGATCAAAAAAAGGAAAGAAAAAAGGAAGAAAGTGGGCACTGAAACTGATTTTGATGTATGACGAGATGGTTACTGATATTTCTTCACCGACCATATGGTCATGTATATCAATATATGAGCAATACGCAGCAAAAAGAGGAGATCCCACTACATACCACTCATGCATGGCATACATCACCGGCATACAACCACTCTCTAGCTGAATTGATTTCGCCGCGGCGGGTATCCTGCCCCCATGATACTTTGACAATACTGCCATTTCCACAATGGTTGAGACAAACGGTCCCACTAAGGCTGCAAAAGAAGTTGCAGGTTAATCTCAGGCTGAAGAAGAACTTTGAGGTTTAGAATAGACTCGTATCTAAAAAAGAACGTTTCAACCAACAGGATACTTCCAGCCTGCAAGGCAAATTACTAAAGGCATGGCCCAAATAGTAAGGGGCATCTGCTTAGCTGATCTGACACTGACCCTTATTTATGGGACAAAATTGGCGTTGCTGACAGCTGAGGCCGCAAACACTGAGGATTTAGTGAGGAAATGACAGTGTTCATTCAATAACTGTTTCGCTTGATACTAGCATTGATAGGTATTGATTTAGGCAGAGGATCCAGCCCACCGCAGGTAAAGAACGGCGAGTTAGCTGCGCAGGGCGAATGGAATGTTAAGCTGCACTTCGAGTGGCCTATCCGCTCATATCCAATGTGCGCGCGCGGCTAAAGCAAGTAATTATGTGCACCGATTGGGTGGTCACATTCGGTCTATGGTGAGGTCCCCTGGTATGTACGAAAACTATTCAACACTAACCCTTATTATTGTTCGATACATGTCCATGGAGAGATAATCTCTTTTATCCTTCCTACAGCCTTATTTATCTCCTTGAACATCACAGTAGGTACGGATCCCAATAACCTTTCTCGCATACCCCACTTCCCATAGCGATCTTGACCTGAGACAAGAGCTTTTCGAAGAAGCTAGTACCGATCAGGGGAAGGTCTAACAACCCCTCCCTCTGCTCCCCAACCCTGACTTATTTGGCGATCATGATAGGGTACGTACTTGTAGGCAGACCATATCTTTCAATTATCAGATACCATGAGATACACCCTTGAAAATGTAGGTACTAGGTAGGTACTCTACAGTACATATCATTGCAATTAGACCGTGTGCACCTGTGCCGAGAATGTACCTGTGCCGAGCATCTTATCTGATCTCTAGGGATCCACTCCAAATGGTGGCTAAAATGCTGCCTTTATTATAAGGTGCTCGGCACAGGTACATGCTCGGCACAGGTGCACACGGTCTATCGAATTGATGGCCTCGTTGTCGTGGTACTACCCGAGTCTCTAAAAAGGTATTTCCTCCTCTCAGCCGCAGCAATTGCAAGTGACAGGTCATTCTTACTTCATATGTATTGTTTACATACGAAAATTCAGTCCAGATCTACATACATATAAAAAACACGCCTTGTGTCGCTCTGCGCAGGGTCTCAGTGTAACTATACACCGATTGGGCGGGGTGCATAGAGTATAACATATCGCATTGAAAACACTCTACCTATCTAGGTACTCTAGGCGCGGCAACCACTTCGGAGTTGAGCCTCCATGGGGTACACCAAGGGGCGAGTAGCTCGAGTATGTGCAACAGGCGTACTACCAATTTCATGACGTTTCCGAACACGACCAATATTGCATGCCATACAAAAAAGCGCCAAATCCACCTTTTTGTATGTCATGCAATATTGGTCGTGTTCGGAAACGCTATGAAGCTACGAGTAGAACACAATCCCCTAGAATCTATAACCCCTATAGAGTACTACTCAAAATCGATTGGAGGCGGGTACATACTCGGTATATGCAGAGCACTCTACTCTGGAGTTCTTCATACTCAAAAGTACCATAGTTCTGAACTACTTATAAGGCTAGTGGGGTCGGCGCATACTTGCTCTAGGGTAAGGTGCTCTACATTTATATACTCGAGTATGTATGTATGTCTCTACCGAGTAGAGTACATACCAGGCTAGGGTGTCCAGCACCAACCATTCAGAAGTTCTCGTCACCTTTTATGCGCATTCAGACAGGGGTTAATTAAATTTTATAGTTACTCTATCCTCAAGGGCCCGGCAGCAAATAAGGCCTTATAATTATGTACCAGTTCTTCTTCGTATCTAGACTGGCTAATACAAATCATGACACAGCAACTGACAGAAAGACTAGCCTTGCGCCTACGATCTGCAATAGCTCTGGCCTGAAAGGGTTAGAGCTTCGGTTTAGCAAACACAACATGGTGGGACCGAGACATTCTGCCCATCACATATTTGGCACTCCAATCCACATTCATACCTTCATCCATAGGTCAATCGTCGATCTCTTGAACCCCTCATTGACTTTCCACCGCTATGTACCACCTCCCTATGAAAGCCCACCACTCAGTTGCGCGGGTGCTCAAAACAACCAGCAACCCCTATATCATCTACCTTATTTGCGGTATTCCTGCGTATATCGTATTATTTAGGACCTGAGAGACTAAAGGCACCGGCATAGAAATAAGATAGATTGTTCCAATATTAATTACCGGTGGTGGTGGTGGGCACCGTCGTAGGTGATGCACGTGCGCACGACACTAAGAAAACAAAATAAACTTCTCCAGGTTCTAATTGAACACATCACTTTGCCCACACTGCAGGGTGACGGTGACCCTGCATACAGTTCCAAGGCTGAGATAGCCATGGTTGTTCGTGTCCCGGGAGTACTACCATAGCCAGCACCTAGCTTCAGTAGAGTTATAAAGGGCAGGTCAATCGGTACCGCCCACCTGGGGAGAGGTTATATCAACCTCACCATCGGCGAGCTTCAGGCCCAGCTCTTTTACGGTCCCCTGCCCAGTATTTTTTTGATAGGTTTGAAAGCTGTTCTGATCGACCTTCGAAATCTCTTGCTAGTCTCAACTGCTGTGCTGGAGTACTCACGCAATTCTACCTTGTTGCGTTTTGGGGGCTAGGGGCTTCGGGGCCTTGTGATTATCGTTGGGAATTTGAATTGGAGGCTTACCAGCCAGTACTGTTCGCACCTTCTATGGCATCAAATTAGTATTCTTATAATTCACTAACAATTAAAAGTCAGGTTTTATCATTAGCCCTCAAAAATGTCGCTATATATTCTCTACTCGATGGTGTCCTCCTTCGTGGTCATCCTAAATTCGAAGCTTGTCGATGCAGCTCCCTTGCCAATATTTGGAAATGCTGGAAACACAACCGAACCCGCTGGTTCCTCCTTTGTTCCATCACCCCGAGGGCGCGGTACTCTAGATATCTTCTTTACCTGCACAATCACCCTTATGCTCTGTGTCTGGACCGCAGTTCATCCCAACATTGTTACCAACCCGACGGTCGCCCGCTGTCTCAAGCACAGGGTTACCTATATGGTGCTAGGACTCGTGATACCGGAATGTGTCCTTGGAATCGCCATCAATGAATGGAGAGAGGCACGGAAGGTTCTTCATGCATGGAAGTACTCTATGGCTATAGCCCATGCGAAGGAGGCTGCAGGTTTGGCAACTGAAGCCCTGAAGCGAACAGTCATTTCGCCCAGCGATATTGCTCGACAGCAGCTCAAGGAAGCAACTGATGTCGCTCAGCGAGCGGGTATTGCTGACCCTGCAACTCCCGGTGCCGCCGACACTGCACTACCGGCAGTCAAGGCAGTCAAAGAGAAACTCAAGGATTATGAGGCCCTGGAAAGAATTATTAGGGCAAGAGAGGTGTCGTGGGTTCTCGAGATATTTCGTCGAGGGGTCGAGAAACTTCGGAAATCTTTGCCAATATCAAACATATTCCTCAGGGAAACTCCGTTCGGCATGGAGGGGGCATTTTTTGCTGTGATGGGAGGCTACACGTTCTGCCCACTCGATCGCTATGAGCACCCAGAGTATCAGCGTACGCTCTCCGCTGACGCGATGGTTCTTCTTCTCAGAATGGGGATTGTGGATGGCAAGGGTCTGGCAAGCCTCAAGAATGAGGTCAAGGACAAGGGAAAGGCTAACGTGCTAGCCAAGTTCTTGGTCTGCGCGCAGGCATTGTGGATGGTGATGAACTGCTTCCTACGTAGGGCGGCACATCTCCCAATCACCATCATTGAGTTGAACGTAATTGTGCATGTCTTTTGTGCTGTTATTGTTTACGCTTGTTGGTGGAAGAAACCCCACGACGCCGGAAGTGCCATTTCGCTCGATGGGTTCATCTCAAAGCCCATCAGTGCGGTTCTCTTTTTCATGCAATACCCCGATACTCTTGAGCTTCACGTTTCGGAGCCACGCGCAGGGGATTTTTCAATCACCACTCGAATCATAAATGCCACTAATCAATTCACCTTGCCCCCCATTCCGCTTGAGAATGCCACGCAGAAGAATGGGAAGAGTGGGAAAGATGGGAAAGACAGGAAGGATGGGAAGGATGGGAAGGATGGGAAGGATGGGAAGGGTGAGAAGGGTGGGAAAAATGAAAAAATCGAGAAAACCGAAGAAAGTGAGAAAAACGAAGAAAGTGAGGAAAGCGAGAAAATCGAGGAAAGCGAGAAAATGGGGCCGGAAGTCACTCAGAATCCGGTAGAGGGATCACTACATTCTGAATCGCCACCTAACGATACATTCGACGCCACCACAGCGAGGGAAGAGCACCTGGACGAGTCTTCGACGCCTCTGAAGCCCCAGATAGACGATAATGGTCCTCCGGAAATCCCCGACTTTACTCCTGATGTACCCCTTCATCTTACCGGCCAGGTAATCGGGCAGGATATTCCTCAGGGTGCTGGGCAGGGGCCTGTGCATCCCGGATCCTCATCCATAGATGTAATTGGTACCATCGCAGCAGGGTCAGGGCAGCAGAGCAGGCCACCTACAGCACCTGTGCACCCGCCTCTTGCAAAATCCCGCCCTGGCACTGCTTCTGACACTCAGTATCGACTAAATGAGATAGCACTTTACCGAGAGGTTGAAACCTGGGGGGGAACGCAGCTACGTCAAATTGACCTTTCCGATGACGAAAAGAAAGCCTGGGAAACAATAGGCACACCTCCGCTAGACTCATCTCGTATTTTCATCGACAGCAGACGTGGTGTTACTCTCAGGGCAGACTCAAGCGTGAAGTTCAACATAACAGCTCAGGAGTACCGAATATTCGTAAGCGCGGCAGAAACTCTGCGCTCAATGGACCGTCCCAAAAGTATCAGTAATCTAATCGTGATTGGAAACACACCCTATCCTATATTACTGAAATCTCCCGAGGAAATGACGGCAGCGCAGAATTCTTTCAATCTCAAGGGCTTAAAGCTTATGTGGATACCACTGTATCTTATATACGGCGGCGTTCATTCCTTGCTTTGGAACACATATTTCCCCTCCCCGACCGAGCGACTCCTGTGGAGAATCTCTTGCCTGCTTATTGCATTCCCTGGCCTTGGGCATTTCGCTATTCTTGTGGCAACAGATCAGGTCTGGAGAAACTTTGATGGAGACACCTTACCCGACGCGATTTACGACTTTGCCCCTTGGTATTTAATCGTAGGCTTTCTGCTTGGTTGGGCGGCTGGAGCAATCTATGGGGGTATCGTGGGATTTCATCATGTAACCGGGTTGGTCATCCAGCAGCACTACCGGATACTCATCTACGTCGCGTTGGAACTGGCGGTGGCCTTGGCTGTCATATGTGCAGCCTGGTTCTTGGTACAAGTGTTTAGAGGCAAAGACTGGAACCCCTATTGGGGTTTCAGACGTTACCTGCGCTGGCTACTTGTTATACCAATGTGGCTCCTTCTGATTGCATACTTCCTGGCTAGAATGTTCATTTTCGTTGAAACCTTTATATGCTTGAGGAGTCTGCCTATACGTGCCTACGAGACTGTTATTTGGGAGGAGATTTTGCCGCATTTCTGATTGAGGCCCCTGCTATATTCCCTCTTTTTTGTTTTAACTTTTCTTAGTGGTTCCAGATATATCAAACATATATCGTCTAATGTTTTCTTTTGTGTATGGCGCTTATAGTCGCGGTGTTTTTGGAGGCAATTAATGAATTATATCTGTAAAGAAGAATTGAGTACGGGTTCGTGTAATTAAGTGCACTTGTGTCTTATTGGATCAAGCCATATCACTATATCACGCACAGTTCCGATATTCAACCAACCTCAGCTAACCCGCTCCCTTCTCGGAATGAATCTGATATCAAGGCTTCATTCGGAATCACTCCGCATCGCAATGATGAAACACAACCCGCGACCGCCAAAGCATTCTTGGTAAGAACCCAAGTGCAGTCACACCTCGCTATCTCGTAATTCGATATCTCGGATCTCTTGCTGTCTCGTACGAATTTGCGGGACAGGTACTGCTCTGCTCCACCAAAAACTATTTGCTGTCTCGTATATTTGCTATCTCGTAGGGGTTTGGCTCCGAGAATACGCTAACGACATAACGAGGCGCGACTACACATGAACATAATACCGCTAAATCTTGAGTTATTCGGGGGGTTGCCAAGGCCACCTGCTAAACTACATTTAGTTTAGATCCTGCAGAAGAGGGCTGTTTTCTTGAGGATCGCTTCCTCAAAAGGTGAAGATCCTCAGCTTTTTGCCTTGGCAACCCCCTGAATAACTCGACATCAAAGTGTAACTCGCGATCGAACCTTGATCCCGACTGTCAAGGAGATCAGCAACCGAGTGATGCCTCGTGACTCTCCAGTTTTCAGGAACGTGAGATTACTTGTAGTCGCTGATTATACAGGCTACGCAAACAGACAATTTTCGAAGCGTTCTCGGCATGGGTACATACATACTTGTTCTCGCAAAAATACATGTAATTGTGCGTGACAGGGGGACACTGACCTTTGAGGTCATATGTTCTCACTCGGCCGGGCGAGTGATAGTTTGTGCCGCATTTGTGGGTGCGACGTTACGCCCGTATCTAGATCTAATCTAAATAGTATAATCTTCCTCTTTATGGTCAGGAAGCACTACCACTGGCTGGTTTTCTTCTACCAGGACTGCTATGTGTAATGGATAAAGAGCAACTCCCGACTCTACCAGCTATATAAATGAATCAATTGATTCATTTCCCACCAAAGGTAATTGAGTGAATGAATCAATTGATCCATTTCCCGGGGATGTATGTAGAAAATGGATCCCATGATGCATTTCCTTTGATGCATTTACAGAGTGTTGCGTCGTCATCCCAAAGTGTCTTTCTAATCCTATACCTTTTGTTAACGCCTTCTTCGAGCTGCGAGTATAAAATGGATAGTGCCCTTTTTAATGCATTTTCTGATGCCTTTTCTGATGGATTCTTTGATGTCTTTTACTGGTCTAGTTTGCAGAGACCAGATGTGCCTTTCTTACGCCTTTTCTTGTGTATTTTGTTCGCTTATACGGAATCCTCCAACCTCTACCGGTGAGTACCTTGCTGCTCCGAGTCGTGCGTCTTTTGTTACTACCATTTTTAATACCTTTCTTAACGCCTTTTTAATGTCTTTCCTCGGGCTACGCCTATACCACTGGCAGAAAAAGCAACACTAGAGAAGGCATCAAGAAAAGGCATCAAGAAATTGCATTAAGAAAATGCATCAGTAAAGGCATTAGAAAAGAGATTTCAGTATCCGGGGCAGCCCGAGGAAAGGTATTGAAAGTACATTAATAAAACTTATCGGAAAAGCCTTTTAAAAAGGCATAGGAAAAGCCACGATCCTTTGAATACCCGCCCTTCCAGAAAAAGCATAAGAAAAGGCATTTCTGATACCCGGCGCAGCCCAAGGAAATACATTAAAAAGACATTAAAAAAAGGGTTTCAGAAAAGGCACAAGGAAAAGCATAAGGAAGAGCACAAGAAAAGGCTTTTCCGGTACCTGCACACTACCCCGGGAAAAGGCATCAAAAAAGGCATTGGAAGAGACATTTCTGGTCTAGGCGCAGCCCGAGGAAAGGTTTTAACAAAGGCATCGGAAAAGGCATCAGAAAAGGCATTTCTGATACCCGACGCAGCTCGAATACCAGGCACCGGAAAAGTCACCAGAGAACGCATCAAGAAAAGACATTTCTGATACCCGGCACAGCCCGAGGGAAGGTATAAGAAATGCCTTTTCTTATTCCTTTTTCTGATGCCGTTTCTGATGCCTTTTCTGTGCGGTTTCTCATGCCATTTCTGATGCCATTTCTGATGCCATTTCTAATAAATTCGTTTGATATATTTCCCCCCGGGGGGGGGGGGGGGGGGGGGAGGGGGTGAAATGCCGGGAAAGAGGTCGGGGGAGCGTCAAGAACGGTGCACGCAAAGGCACCAGCAAATCCGCTAGCAAAACTTGGGCTAGGAAACGTGTACGGAAAGGCATCGGGAATGGTGTTGAGTATGTTTGCGCGCGTATGATAGTAAGTATGAGAAATGCAGATTAGGAGTAGTAGTATTTTTATATCCCTAGCGATTTTAGACTTGGTGAGATTTTCGGCTACAGTGCAAATAAAATAAACTTTATATCAGTATTAAATGTAAACTTAACATGTAAAATAACTAATAGCATACATAGTTGATAACTCTTGCACTTGTTATTCAAGGTTATCCAACTTCAACGAGTCCCTCCAAAACTCTTTTGATTTACTGCTGCATAAATATAGTTTTGTATTGATAAAAAGGTCACTTTTGATAGTCTCGATAAACTCAGCTGCCAGGTGATTTGGCAATTGGGGTATAGACCCTAGGTGTAGTTACCTACCACCAGAACCCTCCACCAGCACCCTAACCCTGAGCCTGGTAGTCTGGCGCGAGACTAACTTTTTGGATATAATATCGAGGTTGTATATGTGTAGTAAGATGGAGCCTGGCATGTCCTCCAACCCACCGGAACGCATTTTGTATCAAATCATGTGTTAAAGTATTAAGTTGCACTTAAATCCCATTTCCGGATTCATTTCTACATATAAAAATGATTCATTTACAAGGGAAATCTTGTTTCATTCCAGAGCACTTTTCCGAAGCATTTAACAAGAGCGAAGTGGGGAAAGTTTTCGATTCATTCCCTGATGCATTTACACCGCTGGTAGAGCGACATATGTAACATAGGTTGGTACATACTTGTAAGCAGTTTGCACTGACTGTTGATATCATAGATCTATAGATATCATGGATAATTGATTTTCGTATTGCATAGATTGGACAGTATTATTCCTCTCTCTTGGGCTTCAGCTTTAGCGAATTTGCAGCCGGAGGCTGCGTCCCGCTTGTATGTAAATATATAAGATTATGGAACCATCCCTGTTAGGGATACGGCTGCTAGAGTACTTATTGGTGAGATATCCACGCGGAAAGGAGTTAGAAGGTTACCTAGGGGTGAGGGTTGTGATAACCTTTTGTTCTTTTTTTTGCATGGCGCTGGAAACAACGAGGAGATGAGTTTTTTTTTTTGTCGTCTTTTGAGATCAATGCAATCAACATGGCAAGACGAGATCTGGGCAACAGCTCTCTAGCGGGAGCGGTGGTGGATTGGGTGAGCTTAAACCCGGGGAGGGGAAGGTAGCTTTCAAATCGCGTGCCGCAAGAGTACTTATGGAGTCAAGGGACATATCAAGCCACAGTGTGTTTGAGCGGGGATTGTCATAACCACAAATACATGTGAATCCAGGGCACAGACTGTGCGCGCGCAGCACTTGGGAAAACAGTATATTCAGCGATATTACAGCACAGAAACCTCCAAGATCCAACACCACAGAAAAAAGCCTCCAAATGATCCCGCAACCCGCGAAGCCTACCGGCCCGGAGGAGGCGGCGAATCCCCCGCCCAGTCCAGCTTCGGCCGACGATCCGTGACCTTGCCAGAAAGCAGTTCCTGCAGCCTCTCCTCATCGCTCTTGACTCTCTCATCTGCAGTGCTGACCGTAGGACTGCGCTCGCTGACCGCGCTTACTGACTGTGCAATTACTTTCTACAACGCGAAGCTGTTAGTTAGATAGCCCCGCCACGACGGAGTGTAGTATTCACGGGTCCATACCTTCATCATCGCAAACTTAATCAGCAGCTTCTTCAACCATTCAAACTCCAAGCAATCCACAGGTACCTCCTCTATGTGCTCCCGTACCAAGATCGAAACATGTCCCTTACAGTACAGCCTGAGGAACTGGACCTGCAGCCCCGCACACAGGATCCCCACCACCTGCAGCTTCTCCGTAACCGCCGGGTCAAAGTTCACGCGCTGATGCAGCGCGAACAGCATATCCCGCAGCGTCTTGATCAGCTTGTTTGTGTCCACCAGCAGCTTGGTAGACTTTGTTCCCGCGCTGCCGAACGACGAGGCGACCTCCATCGCGCCAAACTCCTCGCTGTGGTCCTTGATGGAGCGGATGATGCCGTCCATCTTCGGGCCGGTGAGCTGTCGCTGTGTCGGCAGTGTGCGGTGGCGATTTTTCCGCCGGGCGGTGGAGCGGCAGGAGCTTTCCTTGTGGACAATGTTGACTCCGGCTAGCCCTTGAAGTGGGTGGTCGATGATATGTGTCCATAGACAGCTTGAGAGGGTGTCTTCGAGTTGAGGTGCCCGAAGGGGCTGGTCGGGGTCTTCCCAAAGGCCAAGGATATGTTGCACCGCCAAATCTGCGGACCATAGATCGTAGTGCTTCTCGCGGTTGTAGACTTCGCCATCCTCTTTATACCGCGTGGTGTCGACCCGATGTCTGAATTCAGCAACTGTCTTTGCCCCATCAAACCGATCCAGACTCTTGAATAGCGGCATCAACCCTTCGCTCGACAGTGGTGGAATAGTAGCCTTGATCTCCGCCCACTCATCGCTCGTAAACCAGCCCCTGTAAGTGTTGTCGTTGTCCTCGTCGTCACCCAAATCGATAACAAAAGAGTGTGCCAGGTTTGCTTGAAAACCGACACCCCCAGCTGAATGGTATTCCCAGAAGAGGATAGTTTCGACGTCCTGACCGCTTGATAGCCTCCACCGGTGGCCTTTGGTCTTGCGATAGGCTTTTTGGAACGCTGCAATGTGCGGAGGCGCACCCTCAAAGCTGGGTGGTCCCCCTCATCCTCATCCACATCCACCTCCTCCTCCTCCTCCTCCGCGTCCTCTTCCCCGGCGACAGTATCTGACAGTTCCCACTCTTCTATCACAGTCTCTTCATCCCCATCATGCTCTCTATTAGATGGCACCGGCAAAGACGGATTGCGACCGGCATCTTTATTATTGATAGTAACAGGTGCAGCGGTACCTGCAGTATGAAAAACCGGTGCGCTCCCACCATTGTGGAACAGTGGCGCACTGCCGCCATTCTGGAAAACAGGCGCGTAATTGATCGTCGCAGGGGTTGGCGGTGGCCGCTCTGTCGACTTCTTGAGGGAGGTCCATATTTTGGCGTATTTCCGGTCCGATGAGTCTCTCTAAAAAAGATTTAGCAGGCGGTATTACGCAGAAGGGCCGCCCTCGTCTCCTCGCCTGTCGATCAGCATAGACACAGCCGCGTTACCAAGGCAAAATGCGGGAGGCTTGGACAGCAGACGGACGACGAAGGTCATCTGTGCCCCGGTGGGACCAGGCCGGGTTGGGACGTAGCCTTGACATTGATCGGCTTTTGCAAGCACATTCAACGCACCGACACTGGGCTTATGACTCGGCTGGCTTGTGAAAGACAACCCTGCCTTGTCCAGACCAGGAACAACAGAAGATGGAGTGGGCAGCACGTCCACACCCGATCCGCAATGGGTAGGAGAGAAATTGGGTGCATTGAACATTATAGGGAGGGTGCGAGGGTATATAGCGAATCAACCCCACCGCATCAAGACAAGCTAGCAGGTCATCTTGGGCAGTGGGCACCGACGCTGGACAAGGGCTGGACAAGCTAACAGGTTGTCCGAGCCAGTCCAGCAACATGGTGTCAGTCACGGGAGCTAACAGGTCCCGCTTCTGGATTCAGGGCAGGTGTTGTGAAGAAGGAGGGGGGACGTCAAGACAAGCTAACAGGTCATCTCGACGATCGACACCGATGCTGGACAAAGAGCCGGACAAGCTATCAGGTTGCCCGGGCTTGTCCAGCAACATGCACGGTGTCTAGAGAGCAAACAAAGAAAGGGTTGACGAATGCATATACACACCTCTCGATACCGACTGAGTAACGTCCTTGCCCTCTCACGCCCCTCGTCGGTATGGCATCGGCCGTTGCAGGCCGCAATGCTCTCCAACGATTTAACCCAGGAATCGACAATCTTGCGACGCGTCGCGTCCCGGGGGTGCCGGTATTTCAAGAAGTCGACGAGATTCCATCTGTTTGGAGGGGAGTTGAAGTATTTCGAGTTGTTCTTGTGGGCTGCCCTGCTGTCAGTGGTGTCAGTGGACGAGGGAAGAGGAATGGGGGGGGGGGGGGGAACAGACAGGCCTGCTTGGATGACATTATCCTGACTGGCGATGGGAGATGCTTGGCGTGGCTAATCTTGGCGCGATGGCTCTAAGCGAGGGGGAGAGAGGGAAGAGAGAGGGAAGAGAGAGGGGGAGGGGGGAGGGGGGAAGAGAGGAGAGCAACAGAGGGGTGATGGAAGAGAGAGGGAGGGGGGATGGCAGAGAGAGGGAAGAGAGAGCAACAGAGAGCTGTGCCATCGGTGACAGGCGGGGGGAGGGAACATGTCGTGGTGTTGGAAACAAACAGGTGGCTGGTGGCCAAGAGATGATCTGATAAGATTAGCCTGATAAGCCCACGTGATACGCCAAGGATAGCAGGCACAAGCAGCCAAGGCGCCATCATCCCTACAGCGATCTACTAAGCGAGGAGTCCCTGCCCCGATATCCGCGCAAAATCAACAAAAAGCTCGACGGTGCCCTAACAGACTCAACTCAACTCACAAGACGATTTTTCTCCCTGTTACACAGTGTGACACAGCCCCGGGCTATCCGCTGTACTACCCGCAGGCTAGCTAGGATACTCAATAGATAGCAGCCTGGGAAATCGAGCCAGCCCTCCTCCCGGATGATGAGACTTGTATATAGGATTCCGAGATTAAAAGCAATGGGTCGAGTCGAGACAGACACCTCTGCACACAGTAACAAGGCCTCTGCCCCTGTCGAGCGATAGATATCCTCCTGTCAAGCAAATCCCTAAGGCATGCTGTATTCATGAGTTGGTAACTATACCTTTCACATTGCGCGTGGTGATGCGCAAACACACTGCATCACCCGGTAAGCAGCAGGACGTGGGCAACTTCACTTTCGAGTTGAGTTTTCAAAGGAAGAACATTAATTCCTCCACACATATACCCACCCCGCCCACAGCATATTGGGTCATGTGTGGCTTGGTATAGGCTTATATCAGCCTAACCAACGTATTCATAGTTGAAGACAACAACGCCCAAGGTGGCAGAATGTCTATCTCCCCTCGTAGGGTCCCGCAGCAGCTCTATCGTTGTGTTTGAAGGCGTGGGAGACACTTTGTCTCAAGACACAAGGAATACCATAAAGGACTAAACAGGTATCGTGAAGGAACACAAAACATGTGAAGAACAGCCCTAAGACCTTCCTAAATATGTGCTAAAGAGCCTGAACAGTATTCTGGGTAAAGAGAAGCGCTCTAGGGGGCTTAAAAACACAAACATTGTAATTGCAGTTGGGGTGATGGTATATATATAGGTGCTTGGCTTTGTCTATAGTCCTTAAATAGGGTGTGAAAAGATAGATAAGCGGAGATAAGGGATGTGAGGGCCGCATATTGCGATATTCTTGTACCCAATAAAACCGTGAATTAAAAACCGTGAATTAAAAACCGTGAATTAAAAACCGGGGGGGGGGGGGGGTGAAGGCCCGGTACGTAGCTACATGTATAAAAAGGAATACATGTATGTGGTTAGCGCAAGTTTTATCTTATGATTGAAAGATCTCATGATTTTGCATAATGCATGGCTTCACTATTCCTTTTCCTGTGAGCCAGTGGGCGAAGCGTAACCCAAGATTGGATTATCTCCTTCGTTGGGCTGGATAGCCTCCGCCTGGAGGTCCAAATCCAAATCTCGAGACTCAGTACCTCCCTCTAGTAATCCATATACGTCTGGCGGAATTTCCCCCAGCCAAAGTTGCGGGGTATATTCCTGCCATGTTCTCGGATCTTCTGTTACCCACGGTGCCGGCGTCATGGGTACGGGGGGGAGGTTCTCGATGTCCATTCCAGGGGCCACACTAACTCTCAACCTAGACTTGTGCGATATACGCCGGTCCCTTATGGTCATACCCGGGCCACCCCTGCCTACATGTACTTGATATCGTGTATGATTATAGATACTATCCGCGGCAATAGGCAACAATCTGGTACTAATGTCTTTATCTGCGAGGGTTATTCCTGGCGGTTCGCAAAGGGAAATAGGCATATTGAAGATAGCACGGTTGGTATCCGCTGAATATAAAGACCACCGCCCTATATAGCTCTGCTTACTATCCTTGGAGTATATAGAGTCGGAATAGCGAACTCTTATATAGGGGTGTGTAAGTTGTAAGGCCGATTCAAAGGTACGGCGGGGAAGCGGATTAGGGGATCTGATGCTAACATTACTTGTTGATTTCGTTTGACTTGGGTCGCGTATAGATTGTAAATCATCGGATATTGAGGCATTATTTCCTAGAGACGTGGATATGGATTCAAATTGTTCGGCAAGCCTTCCAAGAGCTTCCCTTGTCTCAGTGGAACTTACACTAATCGGATTTTATTTGCTTGTCAGCTTGGTAAATGTAGCGGTGATGTGTACGCACCGGCGTACCTGGTCAGGATAGTAATAATTACTGAGAAGGTTGACTTGTGACTCTGTAGCCGCTGAATTATAAAGAGGAAAGTCTTTTCTGCCCTTGCCCACAAGTCCATTTTCCCACGACCCTTTACACGATCTAGCTCCCGCTCTAATTCCGAGAATGTCCGGACGGATGCAGTGAGAGTTGACGACAAGTGGTTGATATCTATGAGAGATGCCTTTGAATAGTCAAGATCCCGTCCAAACGTTATAGTCTGGACCCTGGATAGTATCTGTGTGAAGTCGTGGATCTCATCCTCAATAACTTGGGCGATATTTGGCGCATTGCTAGCATTGGAAATAAAGTCGTGCAGGGCTGAGCCCACTTGAACTCCTGTGAGAATAAGTCCGGCGACAGATAGCGCTATCTCCATTATTGAAGTTAAAAAGTTGAATCCAATACAGCAGATCGAAACGAAGGTGGTCCTTCACATAAAAGGAGGAATTTGTACTGTCGCGTGTCGTCTCAGCTGGTAAGGCTGTGTACTGCGTGGCTGACCCCGCTCGGGATAGTAATTCGGACCAATAATACCAAAGGGCCCCGGATTCCCTACGTTATTCCCTTTAATGCGCTAATAATGCGGCATTAGTATGGTACTCTTTTTACAACACCGGTTTAACTCCGTATTATATTCCTCACTAGATCCCGTAGTCATACAGTACTAATTTCTTCCTGTTTTTGTCGTACTTTACCGTACATACTACTGAGGCATCGCCCTCGCTTCTGTATCTATGCTGTTTTCTACTTTACAATAACTATTTCTCTCTCCTCTATCAAGTAGACTATCGCAATGTACTTCATTGACCACCTTGACCTCCATCCACACCGGAACCTACTTCGGATTCTCCTTCCAACCACACTTCGCCAACTCATACCTTCACACTACGTACCATGCGAAATACTCGCCACACTCCCTCTTGAGATCTGGGTCGTTAATATTCAGAGTATATTGGCAATGGCCCATTTGTTTGAGGTGGAGATTGGTAATTGGTTGTTAAATTCTAGGATAGACTTGTGTACGTAGAATGAATTTAGTTGAATACTTCTAAAGCCGTGAGGGCATTCATGAGTGCTCTAGAAATGTTGGACTCAATTGGACTCTCTAATTCAAAATTCGTATCTTTCTGCTATGCATGCCGGTGCCAGTGCAGATTGGAAGGAGGAGATAAAGTTTCAGCCGATCAGTATCTGAATATGGCTATCCAGCAAGCTCACTCTAAGAGGACAATGCCAGTCTATGTTTCCTGCTGATGCATAGACATTGAGCTTTTCAGATGAGCTGTACCATGCCCTTGACCTCAAGGCTAATTATGTCCTTCATGAATCGACAGAAACATACACATCCATCAAAGGTTGGGTAGTCGTCATCACTTTACCGGATAATGCTCATATCACTATCCTATAACTGACCGTACAGCGGCGTGCCAGTGACATCAGCAAAAAACGTGTTTCGTCAGGACGAATCCGTACGCTCAGATGTCCAAATTCGTCTTCTACGCCAAAAACTTCGTCTATTGCTCACACAACCTCATCTTATGCCCCACTCATTTTTGCACCTCATTCTTTGACTACAAAACATGATCGTTTGACAGCTCCAATTAAAAAACGCGTCGTTCGACGCAGACAGGTCGTCTTTTAACTACACCATGCTACGCTCGTCTTATTGCCAAATGTCCTCGTCTTCATGACCTTTCAAAATTGAATCTTTTGTCAGAAATTTAAGTCCATTCTGTCTGAATACAAACTGCTACCAACGCGCCCATTAGAAATCTTAGTCTAACAATGATTCTCTCTAAATATATACTGCTAATTACCCCTATCAAAAATCTAACTCTAAGTACACATTGCTAAATACTCACTGCTACTAACAATCCCCGTCAGAAATCTCCACGGCTAAAGACCCGAATCCCTCACCGATTTTGTCGTTATGCTTCATTTTCTAAATTGAATATAAATTGTCGCTTGTCTACCGGTATAAAATCTATACGTGACTGGCTCCGGTCAAGTGCCCAGACTAATTTCAGTAAATCAAATTGTATGTCGATAGATCGATAGTACTATTGATAAACCACCTGTCGTTTATAGCTGACGTCATTTTGGATACCAAATGTACGGCGCCTAAAATGTTTTTATATTTACTACCCATATATCATCAGGTGAGTTAGAGCAACACGACACCCTTATTAGCCCATGGTCGACATTGGGGTTTCCATTGAAGTCTGGTTTCAAGGGTTCTATCGCAGTCAGAAGTCTGAGCCCCGTACGGCTCGGGTCCCTGGGCTTAAAGACCGTGAGCAGCCTTGCTGAGCATAAGCCCTGCAAAGCCTCTAGGCCACCCAGCTTTTGAGGAAACCAGACCCAGCTGTTCCGCGTATCCCCCCATCTGTAACCCGATGTTCTCGTCGTACAAAGTGTGTGAATTGTCCTCTCCCCGCCCTCACTGTACAAAAGGATGGGTATGTTGAGTTGCTTGAATGTGTTTACCTGCCAGCTATCGATGTATTCAAAAATCTATTCGAACTCAAGACGGAGCTCCCTCCTGAAATACCACCGGATTATAATGGAGTTATTATGAGACCGTTATAATAGTACCTGTTCTAGCAGTCAAGCCATATGACCTTAGGGTAACCGCAGCTTGTTCTTCATCGACGGGTGAAGACAAAGGCAGGTGAGCTTCTACCTCTATTGGTATAAAAAGTAGGGATCCTCACGAGCAAGGAGTCTTCCAAAGTCAAGTTAGGCGACTGCACTAAAACTAGAGCAGAAGGACAACCATGCCAAATAGAAAGGGTAACCCCAAGCATAAGTTACCCTACCTTGGCAATTGACCTTTGAGGTGCAATAACTTTGCAACCGATGCCTGGAAAATATGCTTTAGCGGATTAGAAAGGATCCTGTCGATGATCCAGTTCATTTGGGGTGGTTGAATGAACGCGTTGCGGAGTTGAAGAAACACTGCAAAATGAACACGTTTTATACCCTCAAAATAACCCCTGGAGTTTTGAACCCTCGGAACCCACCTGTTTCAGCCCAGTGGATCGTTGGGAGTAGGAGTACTACCCAAGCTACTAAAGCAAACCCTCGCTTTATAAACACCCATATCTATTCTAACTAATCTGAATAAGCAATTGCTATCTGTTTGTTTTTTCCGCTAGTACTTAGGATCCCGACCAGTCCTTGTCAGTGGCAGAGATTGCGCGATTTGACTCAGGCGGAAGTTCGTACGAGGTGTGCTAGCAACTCTTCTCACTTTTTATAGGAAATAGTCGCTGTACCCCTGACTATTGACAGGCAGACTGCCCGTCAGAAACAAAGAACCTGAATAAAAGTGCTGAGCTTCTATAAAGAGCTCAGTAATGCCCCAGGTTGGCATCTCATAATTATCGGATCTTTACTAGCGAGAAGACTTCTTAAAGTTATTAAGACTCTAGACTAGAAATAACGATCAAATAAACAAACTCCATCTTTCTTATCGAAAGAGCCTCATCATAACTCGTTTGTTCCTTTTATTATTTCTATCTGATCGAAGTCACGGCCGTGCCCTATCATAGCATCCCCGTTACATATATGTAATACTCTAGTCCTCTCATAGCAACAAGAAAATCTACACACTGTACGTTTGTCAACTTGGCCGGGCATTTGACCTACCTCTTCTCCAATCTGGTGTCGCTTATTAAATATACCAATGGCGCGATACCCTGCGCTTGAAATGCTGGGTCATCCTGAGTATCTCCCATGTCCTGTCTTACAGCCTGCATTCTCTTTTTGAAATGTGGCTCTAAGTTGTTGAGATTACCGACGAACTTAGATGTGAAAAACCCGTCTTGGTCAATTTGCAGAATATTTAGCTCACAAATGGAAAAAGTGTAATCACGGTTAAACATCCAATGTATCTGAATCACGGGATCGATGCGATTGCTCAGATGATACAGTATTTTGATATGATCCCTGTATGCTGACTCGCAAGACTCCATCGAATAGTCCCTAATATTGCCGTATTGACGAATGTGCTCTGTGAAATGGCTCATGAAGTGCATTTTGTGGAAGTTGAAGTGGGATTCTGCTCACAAGATCTCATCGGTTTCCCCTGGAGATTTAGCCTTTGATCTGCGACCACCCTCGGCTTTGGCCTAAAGAGTTGTTTCTGCCTGCTAACTCGACGTCGTATTCCCCGCGCAATTCTCTGCGTTGTTCTGCCACTAGTTTCTCGGTCTCTCTCGTGGCACAATATTTCCTGAAGATATTTTTTATCTTGTGGAAAGCCTTTACTTAACTATCCAACATGTCTATCATCAGCTCGTTATAAGAACGATATTGGGTGACTAGTGCCCAGTCGACCAATGCCCGGACGCATTGAAAGGCTTTCTTGAATAGCTCTGCCTGGGCAGATGACGGATTCCTGAGTGCAGACGCCAGGGCTGATAAGATTATCTTCTGAAAATTACGCATCTCCTTCCCTTGCCATTGACTGACCGCTTGAAAAGGCTTCATCGGTGGGGTACATCCAGGTTAAGGTAGCATGCACGTCCATATGTCGTTGAATTCATTCAAACGACAATGTTCTTTGAGGAAGTCCTCCAGCCACTCCATAAAATGTTTCAAGATTCCCAAGTATACCAAATGCAGCATATTTCGCTTATGGGGGTCGTAGGCTTGTACGAAGGGGAGATTCCAGAAAGGGTTGCACAAAGGTCATAAACTACGAGAATCAAAGCACTTGGTCTGTAACGGAGTCATTCCAACTGTTTGGTGTATGAGTACACACAGAGCCCGGTTACACGCTGAGAGTTATTGTTAGAGGCCAGTTGCACAGTGACATGCAAGTACCGGCAGTGTGGTTAGCTACCAGCTGTCAGAGTAACTACATTTTGAGCGCTAGGAAGTGAATCTATTCACGGAAGAAATGACTGACGAGTCTATGCCTCACCAATGACTAGAAGGCCAGCCGGAGTGAAGCTTTGAGTGCTCAGCGATCCTCTAAATTCTCTGAGCATGATAAATCTGCCGGTAGTGGCAGGGACTATGCCTGGGAAGTCTACAATAAGCGAAGAAGCTCTACAGCAATGATTAAGCTTACGCCTGAGTGGCAGCTCATTCATGCAGGTCCTGGTTGTGCGACAGCTAAGACTGCAGGCGTTACAAAAAGCTTTGACTAAGGGTGGTTGCCTTCGGAACCGGAAGCACCCGCTAATGCTTAGAGAGAAACGGAGTAGCGGTAGTATTGCCCCCCTTCCGCTAGAAGGCAGCACCAGAACTTAGTAAGGAAGTAGGAGCAGCGGAACGGAATCCTTTGGAGTATAAGTACTCAGGATCCTTCCCGCCCAACTATCCGTTTCTCACAAGTCTTTATCAGAGCTAGGAAGTATTTTCTACTCGATAGCAGAGCCCTTAAAGATTATTGAGTTCTTAGCGATAAATCTGTTTGGGGAAATAGCCAGTGCTAAGCGATAATTCTGTAGTGTTTAAACTGATGATATTGTAAACCGGATTCCCTTGACTTGGTGGTTGATGATACCCTCAAGTCTTCGCAGAATCAAGCCCTATTTATACATGTTGGAACCTATGCCAAGGCCCGCTTTCTAATACTAACTGACACAACGATAATAGAATAAGATAACGCTCCCGAAGATAACCCAGATAGAGAAGCGCCCCCGCATAATTCCGTCCTCCATTCTGACTCCGACACGTAATCATGAACCTTGCAATTGCCAGTCATCGGGCTGTACCATACTATTATCCTAGACCTACTTCTCTAAGTAGAACAGTCTACAGCCGTAAGCCCCGCTTCCTATTCTATTTCGGGTGAGACACCCAACAGTAAGCGTGCCGTCATAATAGTATGGGACTAGCGTGGTGACACCGCGTGCCCCCACACTACCCGATACCTTTCTATGCTTGTCCTTCCGTTACCCGACCGTCCTCGCATCATAACCCGTCACTCGTAATCCTCACTGCACTAAGCCTTTAGAACAGTGTTCCGTAATTTCCGTAACAAAATCTTTGAATAATCTAAACCTGATTTCTATCTTGCACGGCCAAATTTTTCTATCGGATTCTAACGATACGTGGAAAGACTGTCCCTGTTACATAGTCAGCGTCTTCAGATCCCGTCTTTCATCTCTTGCCGGATTCTCCAGTACCTTCAGCGCCCTATACTAACGATACATTCTCTTGTATCTGTCCTGATCACGAGGGTAGGTCTTGAGCGGTTAGGCTTCGTATTCGCCCAGTCTATTGATGGGTACCTCGCACTTGGGGCACAATTTGAACTTGTTATTCAGAATATTGCAGCTCTCCATATGGTCTGAAAGCCATGCCGTCAGAATCGGCCAACAACGTCTCTCGTACCCGTTTGAGCAGCCCATTAAGACGCCGAGTCTTTGGTCAAAATGCAGCACATGCTCCAGTATAATCGACATGGTGCTCCTCAGCGTCTCCGCCGCCCATGACCGGAGTCTCCCCTTTGACGTCGCATCGCCAATTATTTTGGGAGATATTGGCAGCAAATGCGCCTTGACCGATGGCTTAGATCGTACCGTGCCTGGGATATTGCCTATCGTCATATATATCGGCCAGGTCTTCTTGTCTCTGGAGAGGTTCATCAGCAAAAAATGAAGTCTCATCTTGTGATGCCTCAGATGCTCCAGACAACACAAGGCGATTTCTTACCTGCATACCGACACCTGAGTGCCCCGCGATGAGACCTTTGCGTCCCTTTGTCAAGTGATATCGTCGCGACAGGTCTAGATGCAAAGTCACCTCCTGGCGTCTCCACACTAGTATCTTCGGCCCGGTTAACGGGTTTCGCTAGCGGTTTTTGCTGGCAGAATGAGATCACTCGGCAAAAGGTACAGTACGATGCCAGTCGTGAGGGTCAGGCACGGCGTCGCAACGCCCCCCGAACCATCACGGGTACCAGCACAGCAACCACAATTGATCCTTTGGAGAGCTGAATTTTTGTATAGTTGTTAAATAGTAGATAAATAACAATAATTTGACATTTAATATCTTGTGTACCAACCCGCCGTGAAAAGGTTGTGGAAATCTGGTTGCGCGCGCGGCGTTGCGACGCCGCGCCTGACCCTCACGACTGGCATCGTACTGTACATCGACTAGGACATGGTTTCCGCGCGACTGTCACATATATTCGTCTATCTGTCTATCTAATTCTATGTACATCATGATATTTGCTAGTGCCCTACCTACCTCCGCCCGCACTGCCTACCTGCCTACCTGCCTACCTCCGTGCCCGACTGCTTACCCCCGTGCCCGATTGACTACCCCTGTGCCTGCCTGCCTGCCTGCCTGCCTGCCTGCCTGCCTGCCTGCCTACCTACCCCCGCACCGCCTGCCTACCCCCGTGCCCGACTGCCTACCCCCAGACCGGCCTGCTTACCTCCCTACATCTGCACCTGCTTGATTACCTACCTACCTATTAGGAGTTTAATTGACGTTGATTTTGTGCACCGTCAGTCATACATTTGAGCGTAGATTTGAGCGTTGGTGTCGTTTAGCAGTCTGTAGCGGTGTCAGTACAGGCGTCAAAATGCAGAGGTAGGTAAATATGTATCCAGGCATCGCTACAGGTAGAAGGTAGGCGTCGCTGCTCGTAGGAGGTAGGTGTCGACGCTGGTAGGAGGTAGGTGTCGATGCTGATAGGAGGTAGGTGTCGATGCTGATAGGAGGTAGGTGTTGAGGTAGGTGTCGAGTGGAAGATAGGCAGATAGGTAGGAAAGCAGCAGGTAGCTACGCAGATAGGGATCCTCGAGATGTCAAATCTGACGTCATTTGCTAGCGAGCTCAGGGCTAGCGCCAAAACTTAGGCAGATTCGCCATGGTGGGTCGCGTCTTGGGAGGCAGTGGGGGGTCAAGAGGCGAAGTGTCATATTTGGGACGCCTACTAGGCATTAAAAGGTGAGGGGTCATATTTTGGACGCCCAATAGGCGTTAAAAGACGACCTATCACATTTTCAATGCTTACTAAGGGTCAAAAGATGATGTGCCATATTTTGTGGCAGCGGGGCGAGATATTGGCGCGGAAGACGAATTTGGACATCGTGGCGTGCGGATTCGTCCTGGCGAAACCCGTTTTTTGCTGATGTACTGCGCCATGATTTAAAAGATTTTTGAATATATTATTGACCATGCCCTGGAACGATGCAGGAGCATTGGTCAAGCCAAAAGGCATTACCCTATATTCGAAGTGGCCGTACTTTGTTCGGAAAGCTGTTTTTCATTCTTCACCCTTAGCAATTCTAATCAAACTATAGCCATTTTTCAGGTCTATCTTCTTGAAGTAGAGTGCTCCTTTCGTTGCGTCAGCCAACTCTGTCATGAGTGGCAGTAGGTAGCAGTTCTTGACCGTGATGGCATTTAAGCCACGATAGTCAACACATAACCGAAGCCACCTGTTAGCTTTCGGAACGAACAGGATGAGTGCCGTTGCTGAGCTAGTAGAGGGGACCATTTTGCTAGAGGCTGGCATTTCATCTAAGTACTACCGGAGTGTCTTTTGTTCAAGTTGTCAGAGCGCATAAATCGGTCTCGATAGAAGCTGCTTTACTTAAATAGGAAGAATGGTGTTATCTCATTCAGAGTTATCAGGTAGTCGATCGGCTCCTTCTTTGGAGAACACGTTGGCATGTTCCTGATGCTCCACCAGTATAGCACTAACGAGAACCTCGTTTACCGATTCTCTTGCCCAAAAGAGGTTTTGCTCGATCGCAATCTGCTTCTTGAATGATGCCATCAGTAGCCTGATGACCAGCTCTTTTGGGTCTTGATTGTAGATGTTTTCAACTGATATGAAGCATCCATCAACTATACAGCTTTTGCTTTCATGAAAGCTAACACTGTCACGTTTGCGCTCCCCCTGGCAATGGATGGTTGGTTGATGTTACTTGAGCCATCGATATGGTATAACGAACTCCTTTCCTGCAAACGAGCCAACCTCACAGGTGACAGCCCTATCTAGGTGGTTGCCAATGCAGAGAGTGAGAGGCTCAGGTGGAGTGATTTGGATACCGGAGTTAAGCATAGAGGTACCATCGGCTTGTCTGATGATGAGAGGCTTTGGTCGAAGTTGAGTAAATATTTTTGCACGATTGACACAGTCTCAGAACATGATCCAGTCCTCAGTGCCACTGTCTAGAAGTGCGTTGACTGTTTCGATACTGGCATACTTATTGCTAGTTGTGGGGTAGTTTCAAGAGATTTCACTCTTGAATTGTGTTTCTTGAGCGTTGGTAGAAATGTTTGTATGTTGGTATAGTTTAGGATAGAAGGTTTAAGTTGTTATTTGTTTGATATGAGTTGTTTAAATGGTTTTTGGGTGTCGAGCGCGGGGTAAGGGGGTTTATATACAGAGTTCGAGTGTTTGATGAATATCATGGTAAAAGACTTACGCACCAGGCATTTCAGGGTATGATCTTATCCTCAGAGTGTGTGTAAAGAGAATTGAATTCCGCGAGTATAAACGAGTATAGAAAGAGTCTGTAATCAACTGATAGAAATAACCGTCATGGTAATAAATAGAAAAAACCTTACTAGGATCTTTGTCCAAATATAGAAAAAACTCTAACATAAAATAAAACGCCTCAAACAAAAATAAAAACGCCCAATAAATTTAATGATCCTTCAAAGTTGTGATCCTTACCCTAAATGCCAACGCCTTATTCTGTGGGCCTAACTTCCACTTCTTTTCACCCTTCCTTCTGTGGTCCTTTCCTCCGGAAAAATATCTTTTCCTTTTCAGGTCTGTCAACCCGACTTTCTTCATCGCCACGTAATCTTTAGCGAGGTGGTTATCTCTCCCACAATTGAAACATTTTCCTTCCTTTTGCCACTTCTCTTTTTCGTCCTTGGTGACACCTAAATCATCTGAAGCTTTCGAGTTGTGCCCTGACACAGATAAGGTTTTCCGAGTTGCAGGGTTGCATGATTTTCGCCTTTCTGTTTTCTTCTTTCGAGGTTTCACGACCTCCTTGCTACGTAAAATCTCGTTTCAGGTCTTCACCTCATTATCCTTGCATCTGACCTTCCTTATCCATGCCAACCATTCCCCGAAATCTTCTGGTTCTCCAATCTCATTCAAGAGATATTGTTCCAGTAAGGAGTTTATTCCTATTAAAATCATGGATTTCCTTACGATGGGTCTGACCTTCACGTCCCATACCAGGTTCTGTATCACGTTGATATAGTAGTCATCGATCATGCCAGTTTGACTGAGCTTATCCATCTTCTGCTTGGCTTACTCTGAACTCATTCGATTGCCATACTGGATTCGTAATTCGTTTTTAAAATTCTCCCATGTCCCGATGCTGAGATCCAATACTAGTCATTCCACAAAATCTCGCCAGAATTTTGACGCGCTTCCGGTAAGTTCTATTGAGGCCAACAAGATTTTAGTATGGTCATCCCACTTGTAACGGGGGTCTATAGTCGTAGGAACTATAGTGCCAAGGAATACAACCGAGCTGAAGACGTAGCAATAGGTATTCGAGACTATAGGCTATGGGGCGGCTCTACCTGGTATGACAACCCAGTTGAACCCTATGATGAGACGTAAAACAAAAGTAGTATTCGTAGAATAAATACAGGATAGATAGATAGATAGATAATTTATATTGCTTTGAAGTACAAGACTTATCGCACGCTAACAAGCTCCGCCGAAGACAAAAGGAAAGAGAGAAAACAAGAGACAAAGGGAAAAGAATCAAGTAAGGAGATACGGAAAAAACGAGTACAGGAAAGTATGAAAGCCTTTTTCATCCTCCGGGTCCTCCTCCTCCTCGTCCATCTCGTATCAGTCCAGTAGGTTTGTTTTGGCTGCGAATTGTAGTATAAGGTCTATGTTTAGGTTCATGAAGAGCCAGTTCTCCCAAGTGGGTGGTCCCGGGATCTTATCCACCAATGGCCTCCGGATCTGTGTCCATCGGGGGCATTGGATTATGGTGTGTTTGGAAGATTGTTCTGAGCCGCATTGGCAGGGCTCAGGTTCGGTGTATGCTGCATGTCTGTCTAGTCTGGTGACCTGGCATCGTATGCGGTGTATCAGTTTAGCCTTGGAGATTGGGAGTTTTGCTCGTTTGGGGTTGACTTTAAGGGCTCCTGGTTCGTGGTAGTTGGTGATTGGGATGGAGTTCCATTCCTCCAACATGCGCTTGGTGATGAGGTCATTTTGTATCCATCTTTCCCTGCGGTTTCCTGGTTCCTGGAAGGGAAGCATAAGTGTTGCAACTCGGTGGAGTCCCGTGCCTTTGGTGTTCTTTATCTTACTGGGGAGGAGTTGGATGAGTTCTTCGTTGAGGGGGTGGTCAGCCGGATAGCAAAGGATCCGTGTACCATATTTTCGTGTCTTGTGAGTGAGGAGTTGTTCCAGTGGTGGGAGTGCTGCTTCTTTGAGTAGTTTTGTAGTTTTTGTCCATTGTGGGAGGCCGGTTATGATCCTGGCTGCTTGGTTGTATAGTGGGTGGAGTGATCTTAGGGCGTGGTCTGCTCCTGTCCACCATGCTTCTGATCCCCATAGGATTGTAGGGAGGAGGCCTTGGACGACAAGATGGTGTATGGTTTTCACTGTTGATCCAGGGAGGTGTGCTATATTCCTGATTTGCCCTAGTACTCG